ACCTGATGTTGTGATTACAGACGTACGAGCACGCCTATCGAGAGATTTTCTCTGCAGACTAGGTGTCGGTTCGCAGCCTCGAGCAGAATCGATTATCGAAAGTTCGCAAAGCACAGTAGGAACGAGCAAGAGTGTTCCGGTCGCTGCTGGCCGATGATTAACAGCTCGGATCGAAGAAAACGCATTACAGAAACACCAAAACATGGACAATATCTTTAAACCCCTACAAACACATTACTCCTATCTCCTTGGTAGTGAAATGTTACTTTTGTCAACTATTTACATAAAACTGGCATAAATGGGGTAGCTGTTTGACTCTAGAACTATTGAAATTGGTCAAAATCATTCTGGCAAATTGGAATAAAAATTGAAAAGAATTTACTCGCTTGGATCTTTAAAAATTTAATTTTCACTAAGAGTTTCAATTTCTTTGGTGTAAATAAATACATTATAATTGTCAGTGGTTCTAGTGTTAATATTCACCATTTTAGAAAAAGGCACTCATTAATGAAGAGTAAATTCACACTACCTTTAAAGATATATTTCACATATTTAAAACACTGTTTACACTGTGCTCAAGTGATACAAAAATGGATCCACATATTCAAAACAGATATAGACACTTTTCTAGACTCAAATATTTCAACGTCAACCATGCAAATTTTTTTTTTTAAAATACCAATATTGAAATTACCATTCGATAAGAGGTCCCCATATACATTGTAGGACAACCGCGAACGGGTTCGCCGATCGTTTAACGCTATCGAATAATTGCTACGCTTTACGATTCCGTTCGGTTTACCGATTTCTCGACCGCAGACCGCGGTTCTGACGGACGACGACAAAACTGAAAAATGGCTGATAGAGACAGTAGACGAACTAGTTCCCGGTGCCCCAGTAAATTCTTATTGCATCGTACGACGAACACGACGATCGGTAGCCCCGCGGGCTTCTCGCGCCAGGAGGCTACGGATTATTCTTTCTTTATTTCGTCCTTTTTTTATTTTTATTCGCGCGGCTTTTGATCCGCGTAGAAACGAAAGGCACGATTAATCAGTCGTGTTCGAAAGCTGATCGTCCGGCGATCCGGTCGTTGATCGAGCGCCGAAATGGCACCGAATCTCTATCCTTCGGATTCGGTACGAGGAAGAATCGCGGCCAGCGATTATGACACCTTTCGTTCGACGTCATTAATCAACGAGTCCGCGAAACGCGACTGCGGATCTCCGAAAGTAGAATTTAATTTCAATTTACGAACGATAATCCACGTAAGGACGAACCGTTCGCGTTGCTCGTTTTTACGAATTTTTGCCGAGGGCCGTTTCGACGGAAACCGCGAATAATTTCGTACGTTTACGCGGCCACGAGTATTTTCTTTTATGAATAATGAAGAGCGACCGTGCGTAAGAAGACTGTGTTTACGCGCAATTTATTACTCTTCTTAATTGCAACCTACCCGTCGCGTTCAAAATGTAATTGGAGGCAAAACGGCGAAACGTCTTAACGATAATTATATTCAAGTTTTATGAAATTGCACGCGAGGAATTTCGCCGTGGCATTGCAACACAGCGAGCGTTTCAGCGAAGAATGGTTTATTGATCGAAATTCTACGTACGCTTTTCGATATCCGACCTAAAAATAATTATCAAATATAATTAATTACCAAACGGCTGGTGAGACTTTGGAAATTAAAAATTTACTCGTCAATTTTAAGTTAGAATTTAAATATTTCCTAAAACGAATGTATCGATCGTTGCAGTCGCGAAGAAGCGATCATCGTTAAATTTTCATCGTCCTCGATCGAAAAAGAGATAATTTAGTAACGTGATTCACGGCGTATAAGAGACCATAAAACGCCTGGAATCGTAAGAAAACGTACAAAGTGTGAAACTGTAGCTAGAAACCGCGAGGGTTCATAAAACACATCGAAAGAAGCAAGAAAGCCTTAAATAACAGTTTTCCGTACGACTATGAATGCCGCGGAGTGATTCATATGGTAAGAGTTGGACGTGTCAATTTCGAACGCGCCTGAAACTCAATGAGAAAAGGCGTAAAAGCTAGCATCCGAACGAACGGCTATCGTTTTCAGCTTCTTCTACAAGAAACTCTCTATGCAATTCATAGGATACGTAATCTCCGTAAAGTTAAGATTTACTTACAGAATAAAAACGCTAAATAGCTCTGAAACAGTTACTTTTTATGCAAACGTTCCAAATGTTTAGTCATGTAGTTACTCCCACTTGCAATCGTGTATTATGATGGTGATTCAATATAAATGAAAAGAAACTTGTTTCTTGGAAATTAAATAACTTCTTCTTCTAACTTTTTCATACATTATTTGAATGGTTATGGCACGTTGGAAAGATTGATTCTCGTCTGATCATCGAAGTTAAGTGCGTTGGATGCGATCAAGTACTAGGATGGATGACTGCTTGAAGAACACCAGGCAGTATGGTTTTATAATTGCAAAAAAATTAGTAAATAATAGAAGATATTGTTTGGAATTATTGTACATTACATTATCAATGTACTTCTCCACTTGTTGATATAAAAAAAAAAGAAAACAAAACTCTCGATGAATAGAAGTAGCACAGTTGTAATAGACACTTGGTAAAAATGGAAAGAATCACATAACAAAGATTCTTTTCATTTATAACGAATCTTCATGTGTAAGAATACGAGTGGACTGTATTATGCATTGCTTTATGAATTTTCACTCTCCGTATAAGGAACGAAAATATTAACGAGATTATCAGACGATTTGTGGAGGTTCATTTCGAATCGATCGAGGAACGGGTGAATACTTGCGGAGAGTTAATTAAGATTTACAGAATCGAAGATGTGATTAAGCCCTTGTCTTCGAGTGTCTCGTCCCGGCGCGGTGTGTTCCGGTGTCGCGCGTCTTTTCACACCGACGCGCGACGCCTCGTTGCAACCGTGAATGGCGTTCCAAGGCGTAATTACGCGGCAGAATTTACACCGGCATAAATTACGCCCCGCGCAAGTCGACGACCTATAACGTTGGTTTGCCGGCCGTTTTCACCTTGCAGATTAATAGCGGTCTCGCGGCATGAATGAACGTTGACGGAAAAGCGGCTGGAAACTGTCGAGGGGGGAGGGGACGACTCATTTCTGGTTGGGTTTAATTAATACGTACCGTAGGTGCCTCCCGCCGCGAAATCCCAACCCCGATTCCGACAACGACGGCCAGGTGTTATCGAGTGTCACGATCTAATCTTATACCGTGCAGGGGCCATAAATATTATTGGTATATTACGGTTGCAGCGGGTGTTTAATAGTAGGACAGCCGATAAGATTACCATTAGGATTCAAGTTGTTCTATTAAACGCGATTACAGAGGGGTTTTATGGAACGGAATAAAATTAACGGTATGGTACATCGGTGTGGTTACGAGAGTACAATGAGCTTGATATGGTTAATTGTTTATTACTCGTAACGAATGTTTAAGATAGAATATTGTAACGTTACCCATATGTTTGAAGATTCGTCTTAACTAGCCCCATGTAGGGGTCAGAAATATATTTAATCAGTTTTTCTATGTTGCAATTTGTTACATTGTCTGGATGTAATGGATATATATCATTGCTGTTTTGAAAATACATATTGATTAAGTTTATTGGAGAACAGCTACAATCTGTAAAATTTTTTATAAGAACATTGGCAATTAACCCTTTAACGTTCATGCTCGAGTCTGTCTGCTTTGAAAAACGATATTTGTTTGATCTAACGGTTTAAGGGATGACAATATTTGTTTCCCTTCAAATTATACGTTGTAATTAACAATAACCGTATTTTAATATAGATTAGAAACAAATCCAGTAAAGAGAACTGATCATTAATTCGAAAAATAGGAGCGTTAAGGGATTAATGGATTAAGAAAATGTTCTTGGTTATTAGTTATCAAGTTATTATTAGTACTTTGATCGACACATTATCTACATATGAGTGACAGAACTTTTCACTATGGAACTGAAACAATTTTGAAGTAGAAATGTTAAAGATAGTATATTTGAGTAGGAATCTATGGTGAGGTTACGAAGACACAAAGGTAAATTTTAAGTTGTGTAGTTTACAATTGTCTACAATCAAAGTTTCGGCCTCGTGAAACTGGTTTGGCAGTTGACGTGTTAAATCGATCCCCCGTAAGAGAACTTTACAATTAAGTGAAAAATAAAGTCCAAAGAAGAGTTTCCAAACTGCTAACTGAACAATTAAAAGTAGTGGTGGACGTCTACTATACGAATCTGAGCTGATTATATAATCTGCTTGTACCCTCTGAAGTTGTATTGTACAACTAAGGAAAGGTTTACGATTATCCAAAAGCATAAAAACCATTGCACAGTTTTAGTCTGTCAATGTGTTAAATCGAAAAATGAGGTCCAAACAAGAGTTTCAAACCTACTAACTAAAGAATTAAAGATGATGATGGACTTCTATTGTATGAACCTGCCCAGTCTGCTGTCCCTCGTTCACGTATGTATATGTAGAATCGTACTATACAACGAAAGAAAGATGAACGATAATGAAAAGGCGTAAGAACCACTAAACCGAACCTGAAGCCTAACGAGCATCTCGCGGGAACGTCCGGCAACGGTCAGGTGCTTAGACAGAGATAGGTGAGTAACTGGCACCCCGACGCCCGTCGGCGTCGCGCGGAGGTCCGCGGATGCAGATTTGCAGCGGCGATCGGGAAGCGTCGGCGAGCGTCGTGTGACCCCGTGGGGTATCTCTCCTATTCGTTCGGTCGTGGGACGTCCCCTCGTGAATCGCGGCCGCTCGATCGGCTGGTGGGGCAGCTCTAGGAGCAGTGGCACGTGGTGGCGCGTATCCTCGGGCGAAATTTCGGTCGTCTGTACGCGTGCACAAACGAGAGCTCTCCGTTCTCCTATCCTCCACTCCCGGGCTGACTGGTAGGGTAGAATTCTTAAGGTGGTGGTGGTGGTGGTGGTGGTGCAGCTGCCGGCGGAGGACGACGACGCCTGGTCCCAGTCCCCGATGGTGGTGGCCGCCGGTGGTGGTAGTAGTAGTAGTAGCTCTCGGTAAGAGCACACACCGTACCACCTCCCATTTCGTCCTCGTCGTGCTGGCACACGGCAGTTAGCTATACTTTCGTACGCCTCGCCGTCGTCCCCGTGGTTCAGTCGGTCGGCCGCAACACACCGCTCAATCAGCCGATCAGCTGTTCTCCTCTTGGCGCACCGGCTCGCCTCGATCTCCTGCGAACCGCCATCGATCCCATCACGCCGATCGACCCGTTTTCGTACCGTCGCTCGAGAGGAGAGAACCGTCTTCTTCGAGCCGGCGACGCTGACGCGTCCATGCGACCCTCTCGCCGCGGACTGATGCGCGAACGATCCACGACTATGTTCGAATCCACGCGTGTACGCTCGCTCGTCGCGCGCGCGACGGGCAACGAATCGTCGGGACGTCCTTCCTCCGACACTCCCGACGCTTGGTAAATCCACCCGTTTAACCCTCGATTTATTTATTCTCGGAGAAAATGAGTTTTTACAGTCCCTCTTCCTCGTCCTCCGATCCGTTCGATCTCCGAGTTTGAAGGATCCTCGGGTAATGAAGGGATTTCGAGCATCTCGATTCCTGTCGAATCCTTTATAGTTTGCTAGGATCGAGCCTCCTCGATCGCGTGTTCCCGCGGTTCAAGGAGACCCCGAAGTGATCGATCAAAGTGTACAAGTGCGTTGATCCGTGAGAAACGGTCCGGGAATATTCGATAAGTGGTGCTACACGATTGACACCCTGACCGTGCGTGTGTGATGTGCGGGTAAATATAGTGTTTCGAAGTGGTGGACGGTGACTGGGACGGATTTAGCTACGGAACCGGCAAACTGGAGATCCTAGGGATGTTTCCGCCGCGCACGGAAGCGCCGACACCGGACAAGCTGGCGCTCTGTTACGCGCCCCACGTTGACATGACCACGGTCATCGAGGTCGAGGTGTGTTTCGATTATAACCGGTGTCTCCGTTCCTCGAGAAACGTTTCCAATTGCATGAAAATCGACCGTGTGCATTGATTAAGCTGCATCGATTCTCGATGTTCCAGCGAAACAAATCGCAGAAATTTTTATTATGATAGATTGTGTGGTATTACAACTCCATGAGAATCACGAAGATAGAAGTTGATCCCTTACACATTGACAGTTTGACAGTTAGGGTAGCGCAAGATTACTTTATCCAATGTAATTTAATTAATTGGTGTATCGAGTGTAGCCAGACAAGGATTACATTATAAAATCCAAGACAATCTAAGTAAAGTTTATTCTGTTATGGAAACATCTAATAGTCCTGCAGGTTCACTTAAAAATATTGTCCATACATATTAATTAAACATTACTTTGATATCATTTGAGAAAAATATTAGAATTGTGTTTTAGTGAATTCTTAAGCATTCTTTGCGAATTTTATCGTTGGAAATTTCCTGATATAAACTATTGTTTAATAAGAGAAGCCTCCTGTCAGTTGTCTACGATTTAAAACTATTAAAAATGAAGTGGATAATGCCTTATTCTAGATAGAGAAATAACACTGTCATCTAATTAAGATCAATCAGCTAATTCTTCTATCCCCATTTTCGAATCCAAAGAAACAAATTCGCGATGTTTTTTATACTAAAACACCATAAATTTCCACTAAGTATACCCCCCTCGTCATTGATAGAAAAATTTGTCGAATGTGGGATGTTTACAACTGCGCTTAATCATTCATCTATACGCGGATAGCACATTTTACAGGTATGCGTTATTTTTACATCGGTATTCAGTGATAAAATTTCATTTCTCGAAGCGCACGAGAAAAATCCTTGAACTATATTTCTTACAAACATTACTCATCCACTGATTATGTTTGAGTTTTTACTTCTCGATGATGTATGGAAATATAATTCAACGCTAAAGTGGTTTATAAAAAAGTTTCACTAGAATAGTTTCTCAAGCATCAAGGATAAATAAAAGAAAATAACAATAAACTTCCATAAGCATTTAGTCTTTTACAAGCTGATTAACCCTTTCTATTATCTTGTTCATCTTCAGAAAATATACAAATTAATATCTAAATATCGAAACCACACGCATCTTGTTAGCCAAACATTTAACAGTGTTCTAACGCTACCCAAAAAGAAACGATCGAACACTAAATTAGAATTAAAAATTTTCAGCTACGACACGTAAAAATCCGAACAATTTTCTCAAATCACGATTTCTCTCAGAAACAATTAAATACAAATACGAAACCGAACGGCAAAAAATCAGATCCAATCGATCGGGATCCAAAGTTCTCTTCCGTTTATTTCCTGGTAGCGTTCGATCGTCCGCAATTTCTTTTCTAGTTATTTGTTCTTAATCTACGATCTGTCGATTTCGACACGAGCTGACTTATTGGTTATTAATTGTCTACTTGTCGTATGTGGTAAGAGGGACGATTTCTCTCGCGTTATCAATAGCGATCTCAGCTGGAAAGTTCGGCTATGCGTCTTATGAAATGAACCGACCGCTTGCAGGTTGTTCACGAGTCGAAATTTCATGCGTGTGTAGTGTCAGATCGCGTCGATGGGACTCGCTATTAAATGATCGTAGCCTTTTTTCCCCCCGTCCGTAATTTACATGATTCCCGACTTCTTAAATTACTCTCGCCGTGTCGATCGATCAAAAAATGATCCGTGCGTTACCAAACGGTACGATAGACTCGCGATGGATGTTTTTCGAAAGAACATGCCTCGGTAGAATAACAGACATTTCGATCTGAAATTCACGGTTTACCGAACACTCGAGGTTTCTTCGTCGACGAATGTAAATTTGTTTCGCGGACGTGTGGGCAGTCGTTCTTTCCCAGTCAATACTCGACGGTATTCAAATTATCGCGCGAGTTTAATCGCTGTTTAATGTATTTTTAATTCACTATTGTACGATTCCTATTTTTCTCGTAACTTTTGGACACTTATTTCACGTTATGTATACAAAGTTTGACAGAGTTTTATCATCCCATGTTTTAATATTTTCTTATAACTTTCTACTGCACGTATTTCTAAAAATTGTCGATTCCAAATATTTCTGTTGATTTTCTATTTCATTGTATCATAAACAAATATTCCATACCGTTCGCTTGGAACAAAATAAATTGGTCAAAGGGTGAAAGATATTTCAGAAAATGGTTGCTGGGATCGCGCGTGCATTCTTACTTTTTGCCCACGAAACAATATTAAACATCGTCGATAAAGCTGCTAAATGCCAGGCGTTCCTTTACGCGTGACCGGCGGATGCGAATTCTCGAAAAACGATGCGGCAATCAATTTTCAATAAACGTAAAAGAGCGATCGCGATAACGAGAAGGAGACTACGTATCCGCTTAAATCGGATACTTAACTGCGCGATAAATTCGTACACAGAAATTTAACTACTAGAGAGAAATTCGAACCACGCGTCTTCCGGTCACGACCCGAACACGTGAAAGTCAGCCCCATATAATGGCCGAATAACGAATATTACTGCAAATTGAGGATCGCCTTAATGTCTTCCCGTAGCGTCGCCGCGGCGAACGGTACTCTTTCCACGCGCGTAACGACGCGCGTCATTAAACGACGACAAATATTTCATACGGGAACAGGGCGTACGGAAGTCCCTTCGTGCAACCTTGCCTACGCAAGGTGTTTCGAAACGACGATTTGGAAACACTATTCGGGGGGCACCGGTGAATTTTGCCTCGTTACGCGCTCAGTATCGGACAGATTAGGCGGTCACATGTTTGACCAAGCGAGAGTTCCCTTCTATAACGGACCTTTCCGTTCAATTTTGGGCCGACGTCGTTAACTGCCGTTACGAGCCTCTTCTGTATCCAATTTTTCTCTCCTCGAAAAACCCACGACCCGAGTATCGCTGTTCCCTACATCTCGTGATTTCTAATTCACTTTTCCCGCGAACTCGTGCGCTGATCGGGGTGACATAACTAATTGCCACCAGGAATAAGCTTAAGAAAATATTCGACGAGTAATCTCCTCGACATGTATGGTGTGAAATTGTGCTATGTCAGTGATTAATTAACTGATACGAGGATCACTGGTAACATCCATTTGGAAGTTAAACCTCGATTTAAGGGACTGATCGAAGAAAGACAGTATTTGATACAGAAATTCGAATTTAATTTTGCACCTTGTAACTAAGCAAATGGACATTCTCATTTCAAACTTCCAATAAATAATGACTGCTGAATCGAATCGAGTAATTTCACCATATTAATATGGCCGAAAAAGTAAGACAGATTTCCCCCAAATTTAAAATTACACCAGTCCAATGAAGACAACTTCTACACGAATCTCCTCTTAAAAGATTATGTTTGTCCCTATCAGGTTTCATCGTACATTTAGGTTCTGGTTTCCATGTTATTGTACCAGTAATAAATAATTTATGAAACTGATAAAGATGTTTTCTAGAAACAAGAAATTTTTTCTCCATAACGATTTCTTAATACTTCTTCTTCATTTACTGGTAGACTTCGATTATAGATTTCAGTAAAACTCGAACAGAATTAAGTTAAACTATGTAAAGACAATCTCCATAATGAAACGTAATCAAATTGGACCATCTTGCTCCAAATTTATTTGGTCGATCAGCTGGTCAATTAAAGCACCGATCGATGATGGACGATCTGTGTTACTTTTCGGTGTCACGAACGGTTCCGACATAATTACAGCAATAATCTTTATACGATTTCATTGCAGCAGAGTTGTATGAATGGAACGATCGAATAAAATATGGCACGTTGAATCGACAATAAATATGTAGTTACGGTGCAGAGGCGCGGTACAAGTTGTTATTAACCCAACTCGGAATGACACTCAAATTTAAATCGCACGAGTGGAACCGACACGTGACATTCGCGCGTAGAAAGTGGTATGAATGGGTAAAAAAGTACTTGTTGGCCCTTCCGCGGCTTATAGAGATGTTCGAGATCGTATCACGAGAGCAGAGACCTAATGGCTCGCGCGGGCATAGTGTCGATACAAAGCCTTTCCGCTGTTATTCAGATAAATCACCGCTGATACCATCTTACCTGAGTGATACCGCGTAATCGTTCCATCGGAAGATTACGCGGACCAGATTGCAGACGGTTTTCATCGTGCGAAAAATTTCGAGGCTCGAACTGAAGGCGTCGCGGATTTAGAAATTGCACGCGTCGAAAAGGAATAACGCGTTTATAGACGCATCAATATCTTCGTTTCTGAAGATTATTCAAATATAGAATCGAACTCTTATACATATATTAATATCAGAATCTAGGTAAGGATCTAAATATTCAGGAAAATAGAAATTACTCACTTACCTTTGTTCGTGTAATATAACACTGAAAAGCAATAAACGTATATTTTTGAATACTTTAGTAATTATTATGTTCGTTGACCAATGTTACCATTTCCTTGTTTATTTAATTTTTAACAATGGTGCAAAATAATGATTTGAAACGTGAAACAAAAAATCGCGACACAGTAATGGTTGTTCCCCTATTTTAAGCGGTTTATTATTATATGAATCCTTTCTCCAGAAATATTATTTGCTTTAAAGTCACGGATATTCGATATCAAGATTGAATTTAATTATTCTATCTCGATGTATTTCCGATATCGTAAATTCCATCGATCGCGGTGCACGTATTTGCCATTGTTGCGTCGAGAACGAAACGTCAATTTATACGTGCAATTCACTATATTTCCAAGCTGGAATATGCTTAATCACTCTTTGGCAATTTGCTTTGATGATCTTGCGGTTTGTGACCGATATTCCATACGGTCAATAGTTCGCATAGACTACGATTTAATCAGCATTTTACGCGGTGATCCTCATCTAAACTTTCCCCGCGGTGTTGAGCAACAAGTAAACGAGAATTTGTATTACAAATGAAGCGTGGAACAAGTACAAAGCGGGACGCCTAAAATGGCTGCAAATTAATA